TCAAACAGACAAGCACCTGCAACATAACACCCCAGACTTAACAATTGTCGATAAGAAAGACAAAAAAGTCTGGATAGTGGACGTGGCAGTGCCTGGAGACAGCAGAATAGACGAGAAAGAACTGGAGAAGATAACAAAATACAAAGACCTACAAATAGAAATAGAAAGACTGTGGCAAAAGCAAGCAAGGGTAGTACCAATAGTCATAGGCTCCTTGGGTGCAATCCCAAAACAACTGGAGCACCACTTGAACACCATTGGCATTGACAAATTCGCTATAGTCAATTGCAAAAGGCAGCCTTATTAGGAACTGCTTCCATCCTGCGACGATATCTGTAATACCATCAAACATCCACATCTGCCTATCCCAGGTCCTGGGTAAGGACTCGAGAGGTAGACAAAATGCCAAATCCAGTCTGAACATCTGGCTGACTATGCGATGATCCATAATAATAATAGGGATATAAAATACATCCATAAAGAAAAAGAGAGGGATTGGGAACCCCGATTTGAAAGGAAGGAAGCCGAATTGCGTCTCCTGTGAAAAAGACGCTTGGCAAATTCAGAGTTTTTTTCTTTCTTGCTTGCTGCTTCTGCAAACCTCTCGCCTCAATGCAGAGGAGCGAAGGAGCAGAGGAGCGAAGCTGCCTTGCCGACTTTGTTCCGCTTCGAGATACAGGCCGGTCTGTTCCTCTCTTCCCCCCCCCCCAAATGGCCACCCCATCATTAAAGCTGCTTTCTTTCACCACCCTCCCTCCCCCCTTCCCTGCCCCCCCTCCCTCCGGAAGCAATATGCTGATCTCCCTTGACAAAGCTCTGTTTGGCTTTGCACAAACTCACCCATCGGGAGCCTGACCTCACCTGGCCTCTTCCGTATGGGCTGGCAGGCTGTGTTTGTAAACAGACCACGGTTGCTCGCAGGGGTTCACCAGCAGAAGTCAGCTAGTTAATTGAATGTCAGCTCCCCACGGAGAGCCTGACCTGATGAGTCTTCTGGGAGGAGAAGCCGCCAATGGAACAGCTCCTGACGCGGGCAGCCAGTGGAGGCCGCCGGCCAAGAGGAGGGGGGTCAGGAAGGGGGAATGTGGCTCCTTGCGGCATGCAGGATGGCCCTTGCGGATCCCTGGACCCATCGCCGGAGTCTTCAAGAGAAGATGGGGCAGCCCTTTGCCTGGGATGCCACAGGCTCTCCTGCCCGAGCAGGGGGCTGGACTAGAAGACCTCCCGGGTCCCTGCCAGCCCTAGGATTCTGTCGTTCCGTGATTCTAGGATTGGTTCTATGCTTCTATGCTTCTGTAAGTGATGCTAGGATTCTGTGATTGGTTCTAGGATTGACTTTATGATTCTTTATTTGAAGCTAAGATTCTAGGATTGGTTCTATGTGATTCTTTGATTCTTCAATTTATTCTAGGATGCTAGGATGGATTCCAGGATTCCAGGATTGGTTTTATGATTCTGTAATTGAGTTCATGATTGATTTTATGGTTTTATGATTCTAGGATTGATTCTATGCTTCCATGAAGGAAGAAGAAGGAGGAGGAGGAGGAGGAGGAGGAGGAGGAGAAAAGGGAGAAAGAGAAGGAGAAGGAGAAGGAGAAGGAGAAGAAGAAGAAGAAGAAGAAGAAGAAGAAGAAGAAGAAGAAGAAGAAGAAGAAGAAGAAGAAGAAGAAGAGGAGGAGGAGGAGGAGGAGGAGGAGGAGGAGGAGGAGGAGGAGGAGGAGGAGAAAAGAAGAGAAGGAGGAGGAGGAAAATAGAACAACTTAAACTGGTAGAATTCTGCTGATCTTACAGCCCATCTCAATCAAACAGGATTACCCATCCTTGACCAATTTAAGACTTGTAGACTTCTGTTGGGGACTTCTGGCTGGGGAATTCTGGGAGTTGAAGTCCACGCATCTTAAACTTGCCCAGGTTGCAAAACCCTGCAATAAAAGGATTTTTAGCCTTCTGTGGAGTGGATTTCCTGCTCTGGCTCCCTAGTTAGACTGACGTCGGGGCAAGAACACCCCATAGGTCGCATTCATAACGCCGAACAATAGTGCTCCCCGCGCAATGCCATGGTCCACTCAAGGAGTCAGTCAACCCCTTCTTGCCTTCCTAGCCTGGTGTCCCCATCCATGCCCACCAGCCCAGTCCTGAGGACCGTCGTGCTTCCGTTCCTGAACTCCCTCTGGAAACCACGTGCTCAAAACGAACCACCGAGTCAGCACGGATAGAAATACCCCAGGATGGGTCAACAGGTCACTGAAATGTTTCTCCAGGCCTCTTCCTAAGAGGATTAGGTCAGCAGGCCTTTGCCGACACCTTCGCTGTAGGTCAGCCCAAGGACTGGGCTCACTCCGCTGCCGAGGGTTTTCATTAAGAGCCAGTCCCTCCGTCTCCACAAGTCGCTGCGATTCCCCATCTCTCCCTCTTGGCAAGGGATTTGCTGAGGTTGGAATCTCCATCCTTGTGGTCTCTCTCTGAGGCCACCAGCCGGCTGGGAAAATTTCATTATATTTGCTTTGCAGGCAGACGAGACCCGCTGAAGCTGGATTAGCCAGACGGGGAAGATGGCTGGAACTGAACAGGGTGCCTGCAAACTGCAACGCCTGGCTGGATGCACGGATGTCTGCTTAAAAAAGATGTTGAGATTCTAGAAAGAGTACAGAGAAGAGCAACAAAGATGATTAGGGGACTGGAGGCTAAAACATATAAGGAACGGTTGCTGGAATTGGGTATGTCTAGTTTAACGAAGAGAAGGACAAGGGGAGGACATAGCAGTATTCCAATATCTCAGGGGCTGCCATAAAGAAGAGGGAATCAAGCTATTTTCCAAAGCACCAGAAGGCAGGACAAGAAGCAATGGGTGGAAACTGACCAAGGAGAGAAGCAACTAAGAACTAAGGAGAAACTTCCTGACAGTGAGAACAATTAACCAGTGGAACAGCCTGCCTCCAGAAGCTGTGAATGCTCCAACACTGGAAGTTTTTAAGAAGAGACTGGACAGCCATTTGTCCGAAATGGTGTAGGGTTTCCTGCCTGAGCGGGGGGTTGGACTAGATGACCTCCAAGGTCCCTTCCAACTTTACTACTATTACAAATGCTTTGCCTGTTTGCCATGTGTTGTAGAATAGAATAACAGAGTTGGAAGGGACCTGGCAGGTCATCTAGTCCAGCCCCCTGCCCAAGCAGGAGACCCCCACACCATATCTGACAGATGGCAGTCCAGTTCTCTTCCAGAGATGAAGCTCCCACAACATCTGGAGGCAACTCCTGTTCCACTGGATTGATTGTTCTCACTGTCAAAAAAAATTCCTCATTACTAGATTGAATCTCTCCTTGGTCAGTTTCCATCCGTTATTCCTTGTCTGGCCTTCAGGAGCTTTTGAAAATAGGTTGACCCTCATCCTCTCTGTGGCAGCTCCTCAAATACTGGAAGACTGCCAACATGTCTCCCCCGGTCCTTCTCTTCACTAGACTAGCCATGCCCAGTTCCTGTAACCATTCTTCATTTGGTTTAGCCTCCAGTCCCCTGATCATCTTGGTTGCTCTTCTCTGCACTCCCAACATCTTTTTTATAGTGTGGAGACCAAAATGGTTTGCAGTATTCTATGTGTGATCTTACTAAGACTTTATAGAGTGGTATTAGTATCTCACATGATCTTGATTGAATCCCTCTGTTAATGCAACTTGCATTCTCTAGTCCTTCTCTTCGTTAAACTAGACATACCCAATTCCAGCAACCGTTCCTTGTATGTTTTAGCCTCCAGCCTACTAATCATCCTTGTTGCTCTTCTCTGCACCCTTTCTAGAGTCTCAGCATCTTTTTTACATCGTGGTGATCAAAACTGGACGCCATATTTCAAGTGTGGCCTTACCAAGGCATTGTAAAGTGGTATTAACACTTCACGTGATCTTGATTCTATCCCTCTGTGAATGCAGCCTAGCACTGTGTTGGCTTTTTTGGCAGCTGCAGCACACTTGCTGGCTCCTATTGAAGGGATGGTCCACTAGGACTCCGAGATCCCTCTCACAGTTGCCACAACTGAGCCTAAAGCTCTTGTTAAGGTAGGAAACCTTGGCCTAAGGCAGTGGTGGCGAACCTATGGCACGGGTGCCAGGGGCGGCACTCAGAGCCCTCTCTATGTGCACACACGCCATCGCCCCAGTCCTAGGCCTTCAGCTGGGTTTTATAAAACCTTTTCGCTTTAGGCCTCCACCGCCGTGTGCAAAAAAAAAAGGTTCAATCAATCAGTCAATTTCAACTTCTCGCGGGGAAAAAAAAGATCTTGCAAAGTTGGAATTGATTGATTGAACTTTTTAGTCCCACCCAGTCTGCCGTTACTACCACAGCCACGCCCACCCAATGGGCCACACCCACCCGGCACCCGACAATGCATAAGTGGGTTTGGGGTTGCAGTTTGGCCACTCGGTCTCTAAAAGGTTCGCCATCACTGGCCTAAGGCAGTGTTTCCCAAACTTGACAATTTTAAGGCATGTGGACTTCAACTCCCAGAATTCCACAGCCAGCGTTGCTGGCTGTGGAATTCTGGGAGTTGAAGTCCTCATGCCTTAAAATTGTCAAGTTTGGGAAACACTGGCCTAAGGTGATGCTGACTGTTCTCCCTTCACTAAGGCATCACCACCCCCAGCAGCAATTGCTACAAAAGCTGGTGGAGCGATTTTCCCAGCTGTGCATCCAAGGCAGATGGAAAGACCTCCGCATCCAAGCAGGGGATTATGGTCCAAGCTGGACCCTGGGACAAGACCGGAACATTTGTCTTTGACCGAGAACATTCTCCTTGTGCTTTAGCTGCGGCTGAAGGGGCAGGAATGTGTCCACCAAGTAGCCCAGATGGCGGGTAAGGGAACTAATCGGAGCTCCACACAGCAGGGCCAGGAGCTGGCCGTCTGCTGGGGTTGTTTGAAACCGGGGCAGAGCAGGGAGCAGCAGGGGAGGAGATCAAACTGGCGCTGGGGGGGGGAGGGAGGAATGTGGCGGGGAATTATGGCTGCAGAGAAGGAGGAAGGAAGCCGGAGGCCTGGCGCATAATTGCAGATCCTCTACTAATCCTTGGCTGGTGCTCGGACAGGTGGGTGAGACGGCTGGGTATTGTTCTAGCTAAGTTATACACTGCCTAAGCAGATTTCCCCCCCCCTCCACCTAATCAGCCCCTTTCTCCATGGGGAGTAAATCTTAGCTGCCAATACAGGAAGGTAGACCACAACCTACTCCTTGGTAAGCTAGAAAAAGATGGGAGAGACAACATCACCGGATGGATCTGTAGCTGGCTGGCAAACAGTACTCAATGAGTAGTCCTCAACGGCACCACATCCACGTGGAGGGAATTAAGCAGTGGGTTATCACAAGGCTCCGTCTTAGCCTAGTAAACTCTCCAATCTCTTCATCAATTACTATTTGCTCAAAAGTGGAAAGCAGTGGAAGTACCGACTGGGGAAGCACTAATAAAGAAAATTATGTATTGCGTAGAACTAGATAGGATAACTAAAAGATTAAAAAATCAGGAAGAAACAGAATTTTATCAGATATGGAATAAATTTTATAGATGGAGGGAAAAAAATGAAGGTCACAGTAAAGAGATAAACTGAGATAGAGACTAGAAATGTATAGTTGCATATAGGTATATTATATGTAATTAATGTACAATATGGACTGAGATGTCAGTCAAAGACAATTTACCATGTTCAGTGTTTTTAATCCTTTCTTTTCTTTGTACTTAATAAAAATAAAAAAAAAATATCTTCATCAATGACTTAGATGAGGGAATTGAAGGAGAACTCATCAAATTCACAGATGACACCAAACTGGCAGGAGTAGCCAACACCCCAGAAGACAAGCTCAGCATCCAAAAAGGTCTTGACAGACTTGAGCAATGGGCCCTATCTAACAAAATGAGTTTCAATGTGGAGAAAAGCAAAGTTTTAAACCTAGGTAGGAAAAACCAAAGGCACAAGTACAGACTGGGTGAGACCTGGCTCAAAAACAGCCACTGCGAGATGGACCTTGGAGTCCTGGTGGACGATCGCTTGACCCTGAGCCAGCCGTGTGCAGCAGCAGCCAAAAGAGCTAACACAATCCTGGATTGCATAAACAGAGGCATAGAATCAAGATCACGCGAAGTATTAGTACCGCTTTACAAAACCCTAGTAAGAGCCACACCTGGAATACTGCAGCCAGTTTTGGTCACCATATCACAAAAAAGATGTTGAGAGTTTGGAAAAAAAAAAATCAGAGAAGAGCAACTAAGATGATCCAAGGCCTGGAGACTAAAACATACGAAGAACGGCTGTGGGACTTGGGTCTGGCTAGTCTAAAGAAAAGAAGAAACAGGGGAGACTTGATAGCAGTATTCCAGTACCTGAGGGGCTGCCACAAAGAAGGGGGTCACATTATTCTCCAAAGCACCAAAGGGCAGGACGAGAAACAATGGATGGAAACTCATCAAGGAGGGAGGCAACCTGGAATTAAGGAGAAAATTCCTAACAGTGAGAACAATTAACCAGTGGAAATCCTTGCCTCAAGAAGCTGTGAATGCTCCAACACTGGAAGTTTTTAAGAAGAGACTGGACAGCCATTTGTCCGAAATGGTATAGGGTTTCCTGCCTGAGCAGGGGGCTGGACTAGAAGACCTCCAAGGTTCCTTCCAGTTCTATTCTATTCAAAGTCCGAGCATGTGCATGGATGTGTAGATATATGTACATGCATGCACACAAATGCACCCTGGTTGCATTGCGAAGAATGGAAAGAAAAAAGTGGAAGAAAGGACCCACTATTATTTTGTACTTAGTCCTAAAAACCTTGCTTTTCCCTTTTCAGAGGGATTCAACTGAGGTCTGTGTGGCCTTGAAAGAGTCAAACGTTCACCTGGGCAACTGAAAACCAAAAATGCAGCTCAGGGGAGGCTTTTCCGCAAATCTCATTCATCAAATTCAGATTAAAACATCTGGAAAATGAAAAGCCAGGGACAGTGGTGAATCAGCTGCCCAGAGATCAGCCGGGCTTTGCCTTCCCCTCGGAAAAAGAGGCGTCAGCCCTGCAGAGAAGGCGGCTGGAGGGCTTTGGCTCTGTGGCCGGGACCTTTCCGGAAGGGGGGGGTCCCTGCCAGGGGGGAGGGTTTTCCAATGGGGGGAGGATTCACGAAACACAAGAGAGCTTTGTAGGAAAATGGCTCACCATGCAGGAAGCACTTCCCAGAAAACAACTTCCCTCCTCTGTATCTATCTATCTGTCTGTCTGTCTGTCCATATCTATATCTTACCTATCTATCTATCTATCTATCTATCTATCTATCTATCTATCTATCTATATCATCTGTCTGTCTCTCTGTCCATATTTATATCTATCTATAAATCTATCTATCTGTCTTTCTGTCTGTCTGTCCATATCTATATCTATATCTATCTATCTATCTATCTATCTATCTATCTATCTATCTATCTATCTGTCTGTCTGTCTATCTATCTATTATCTGTCTGTCTCTCTGTCCATATCTATATCTATCTATAAATCTATCTATCTGTCTGTCTGTCTGTCTGTCCATATCTATATCTATATCCTATCTATCTATCTATCCTATCTATCTATCTATCCTATCTATTTATCTATCTATCTATCTATCTATCTATCCATCTATCATCTGTCTGTCTATATCTATCTATCTATCTATCTATCTATCTATCTATCTATCTATCTATCTATCTATCTATCATGTATCTAAGCAAACAAGCAAGCATTCATGGATGAATAATACTGGAGTTGTTTTTGGAGTTGCTTTTAATTCACAAAGCTGACATCCACTGTTAAGATATTGATGATGTTCTCTAGTTGGGTCGTAAAACGTTTGCAAGGAAACAGCTCAGAGAGCACTAAGGACCTCATAGTCTTCCTCCTTCCTCCTCCTCCTCCTCCTCTCTGCAACCCCCCCTTTCTAGCACTGATGATGTTGGGGTGAAGGTTCATTCTCCAAGTTTGTGGGTTGGTTTCTGAGCATTTCGTTACCAGGCTAGGTAACATCTTCAGCAGCTAGTTCCCTAGTTGGGTCATGCAACGTCTGCAACTACACAGGCAAGCTCAGAGAGCACCAAGGACTCCACAGTCCTTCCTCCTGCTCCTCCTCTCTGCAAACTCACCTCCCTTCTAGCACTGATGATGTTCCCTAGTTGGGTCATGAAATGTCTGCAAGAAAATCACCAGGCTCAGAGAGCATCCAGGACCATACAAACCTTTTCCTCCTCCTCCTCCTCCTCCTCCTCCTCCTCCTCCTCCTCCTCCTCCTCCTCCTCCTCCTCCTCCTCTCCACAAATCCCACTCTACTCTAGCACTGAGGATGTTCCCTAGCGGGATCATGAAACGTCTGCATGAACACCATGGAGGACCATGGAAGACCATCCGCTCGTCTTCTCAGATCTTACTGCTGTTCAAGGGGGACCTCCTCAACCTGTGGGACAAGGACTCCTCCATCCCCAGCCAACAAAGCCAACAGTCCCCATGGGACAAGGGGGCACCAATAATAACGTTCCAGAGAAAGTGAAGGTGCCACTCCACTTCACCCTGGCAGGGGACGAGTGTCTGCCTCTCCCCCAGCATCTCAAGCCCCCCCCCCCGACACCTGAGCGGAGGCCAGAGCAGGCTTGGAAGGAGAGCGATGGGCCTCCTGCTTCCAGGGCTGACGGGCGAGATGCTTGCCTCCACTGTCCCTTCAGCCTGGCAGCGTGGCAAAGGCGGTCCGAGATGAATGCCGGCCGGACAAAAGGGCCCAGCCATGTTCTTTTTGCTCATGCCATCTTTGCCCAATCCAAGTTCTTTAGAGCTTTTCATTGGGGGCCCTCTGGTCTTCATTCTCCTCCTCCTCTCTCTCTTTCTCTCTCTCTTTCTCCTTCTCTGCTTTTCTTGTTTCTCAAGTGCGGGAAGCCCCCAGGGCTTGGCCCACCTCCAGTCCCTGTCCATTTGGGGAGGGGGGAGAGAAAAGGGCTCCCTGTGAAGGTCTGCTTCCATCCCCCCCTCTTCCCTCTTCCCTATTCAGTCGGGACCTGCGGGCAGAGTAACCCCTGGCGGAGGGCAGCCTCTCGCCCACCCTTGCCCCATCAGAGGGGGGATAATAGTAATAATAATAATAATAATAATAATAATAATAATAATAATAGCAACATAACACCCCAGACTTAACAATTGTCGATAAGAAAGACAAAAAAGTCTGGATAGTGGACGTGGCAGTGCCTGGAGATAGCGGAATAGAAGAGAAAGAACTGGAGAAGATAACAAAATACAAAGACCTACAAATAGAAATAGAAAGACTGTGGCAAAAGCAAGCGAGGCTAGTACCAATAGTAATAGGCGCCTTGGGTGCAATCCCAAAACAACTGGAGTACCACTGGATCACCATCATCGGCATTGACAAATTCGCTATTAGTCAGTTGCAAAAGGCGGCCTTACTAGGAACTGCTTCCATCCTGCGACGATATCTGTAATACCATCAAACATCCACATCTGCCTATCCCAGGTCCTGGGTAAGGACTCGATAGGTAGACAAAATGCCAAATCCAGTCTGAACATCTGGCTGACTGTGCGATGATCCATAATAATAATAATAATGATGATGATGTTGGAAGGGACCTTGAAGGTCATCTAGTCCAACCCTGATCAGGCAGGAAACCCTATACCATTTCAGACAAATGGCTGTCCAGTCTCTTCTTCAAAACTTCCAGTGTTGGAGCATTCACCACTTCTGGAGGCAGGTTGTTCCACTGGTTAATTGTTCTAACTGTCAGGAAGTTTCTCCTTAGTTCCAGGTTGCTTCTCTCCTTGATGAGTTTCCATCCGTTGCTTCTTGTCCTGCCTTCAGACACCTTGGAGAATAGCTTGACTCCCTCTTCTTTGGGGCAGCCCCTGAGATATTCTGAGACTGCTATCATGTCCCCCCTCGTCCTTCTCTTCATTAAACTAGACCAGGGGAAGGCAGCAGTTAGTGCAGTACTGAAGACCACTTTAGCTGACTGTGTTCAGCAGGTCAGCGGTTCAAATCTCACCGGCTCAAGGTTGACTCAGCCTTCCATCCTTCCGAGGTAGGTAAAA